AGTCATGTCCCCAGTGCTGCCTAGTCATGTCCCCAGTTTCTAACACAGACAGGGTGATTGCTAATAGATCAGCTAAACCTTATGGTTTGACTGGTGTTTCCTCAAAAGACTCTTTTCTCCAGAATGACCATGGAATCTTTCTGTAGAACCCTGGCAGCGGAAAAACAGACCTCTGCCTCTTTAATCTCTGCATCATTGACAAAGTAGCCTCCAGGGCATGAGTGAAAATGAGAATTGAGACCAGGCTCTTTTGCAAGCTGGGCTTGGAGACACCCAACATAACTCTTTTAGCCAGCAGCAGGCACAGATTCCTGAAGTCAGCACACCCGGTTTATTGCAGGCTGCTACAGATGCTTAATCCTAACCCCAGAACAGTGGTGCATGATTTCCTGGAGGAAGAATGATAAAACTCTAAACTAAGATGCCTTCTTCTCTGCATCTTTGATGGACTGATTTGCATGTACTCAGATAGATAAATATCTGCACCAGGCCAAGCCCAATCCTCTACATCTCTATATTATTTTTTTTTCACTAACACAAATGACAGACAGCTTAGGAAAATGATGGGCATTGGTAGAGAGTTACAGCATGCGTATCTTCTTTTGCAGGCACCTCGATATGCTGGGTTTCTCACCAAAATGCTGTTGACATGACAGCCTCACTGACTTTCTACAAGACCAATAGACAATCTCATTCCAAATCCAGGTCCTACCACTGTCCTTCTCTTGTCAGGGATACAGAGGCACTTCATAAGGCTGCCTGCCTGGAGGAGGAAAACTGAGGTTTAACTGCAGATGCCTTGGAAAGTCCCTGCTCATTTCTGGTCAGGTATATCTGTGTGGCAAGTGATAAAGCTCTACCAATAAGGCACAAAGTCTTCCGAGCACCTGGCACAAGCTTGTGGAGATATATTTCTAAAGAGTTATTGTGGCCCATGCCAGCCACAGCTCTCATATGCTGCATCCCTGAGACCACGCCTCGGCTGGGATTTCCTCCCACAGTCGCATGAGCTCAGCCAGCCCCTGGAAAAGTCACTGTCTTGTAAACTTATGTTTTCTTTGTCATTCAAGTGAGCTGCTATTTCTGGTTACATGCAGTTACCATGGCTACAGCAGCTCATAAATAGGGTCAGAAACCTTGGCAATGTTTTTAAGTGATTCCTTGGAATAGAGAATAATCTGGACAAAGGTAATGAAGCTCATGGGTTTTCTTTTGGAGCCACAGGGACTGCACTCCTGCTACCTCTTGGAACCCATGGCTTCTGCTGCAGCTCTGGTCTGGATCGGGTGGCAACTGATGCAACCCAAAAGTCTGGAGCTGGCTTTCCTGGGGCCAGGGGAGGAAGAAGCTGGGAGGTGCAGGGAGGGACAGGGATCAGGTACTCTATCCTTGGACAGAAGCACACACATTCCCACACAGCAAATGCCACAAGCTTTGTCAGGGGAAGGGAGAAAGGGAAAGAGAGGAGGGAATGGCCTGATAATCACAGGAGATAAGAAAAAACATGGTAAGTACGGCCCTTTAGGGAGTTTCTGACATGCTTTGTCAGTGGCCAAAAAATAGTTTCATGTGACACCATGGAAATTTTATTCCCACGTCCACTTTTGTGAAAGAGAAATGAGCCAGATTTCATCTGGAAAACAGGAAAATAAAAGGGGTGTTTTGAAAACAAACAGTATATATATTTTTAAGGTTCAGAGAAGAGGAGTAGGGGGCTGTAGAGCTGATTTCCCCAGCAACTTTACCTATATAGGAGGAGGCAGAAGAGGAGAGAGAGCCCCAGGAAACCTGTCTGCAGCAGATGGAGGCATGGGAATGAGCAGCCGGGATGGGAGTGGAGTTTGCTGCCAGCAGGCTGCACCTCTTTTTAGCCACACAAGCCGGTCCCTGCCCACTGTAATCACTCCTGCTGTCAGGAGCTGCCGAGTGCCATCAATCTCCATGTATTTGTATACAGGCTCCAGTCATCACAGGGAAGAGACAACGCCAACACGATGCTGCCCCATCCTCCTTCCTGTGCCCAGAAATTAGCACACAAGCCTGTGAAAGCTGTGTGATCGTCCTCAAACACGTGGGAACGTTAAGTGTGTTTGCTGCTTCTCTGCTAGATTGAAAGCCCTTTGGCTGTACCTAGGATTTACATCCCAGCTTCTCTGTCCACTCAAGAGCTAGGACCTTATCGATTTTTTAAATGTAAGTTAAGAGTCTTTCTGAAGGATTTATCTTGTCTAACTTCAGCAGTCTGAAGAGCCAGAGGCCTTAGCTGTGGGCTTTTGCTCAGCATCAGAGCACTGCTGGGCTGGTCCCTGCTGCCAGGGTCTGTCATGTCAGAGACTGTCCCTTCTTGGTCACATGCAGTCACACCCCTGGCTGTCATGGCTGCTCCAAAATCCCCTCCTCCATCGTTACCCAAAGACAAAGCCCGTCCATCACTACAGAAACCCCTACCTTGGTTTCCTTCTGCTCCTGCATTGTTCTACTGTTCCTAGCACAGCTCTGTTTTCTGGGTCCATTTTTGGTGCTGCCAGCCCTGATCTCATGTTGTGAGCTGGATGCTCAACAAGGTTTAGTGAGTGGTGCTCAACCACAGCCAATGGATCCCAGAGGATTGTTAACCCTCTGGTTATGCCTCCAGCCAGACAGCTACAGTCCATGACTGAGGTGCTGGCCCAGCTGAGGATGAAGATGGCCTTCCAGCACCTTCTAGCAGGACCCTGGACCTTCTTTTTTCACCTTGAGATTCTGCCTACTTTTTCCACATCTCTGACACCAATCTCCTGGGCTGATCTGTCATAACAGGCTTGTAAAATGCATTGGAATTACAAAAAAGCTGGTAAAGAAGTGTGCATTACCATGCATGGAGATTTGTTGGGTTGCAGTTTAGGCTGAGGTACCAGCTCTACCCTTTCTAGCACCCAGATGTGACCTATCTGTTACCCTAAATCCAGTCCCTGTGTTCTCAGAGGTGACAGGCCACACTGCTGGCTGGCCACCCACATGCAACACAAATATTCCCACTTCTTCCCCTGCCATCCCATCTGCTGGATGCAGTTAAATATTCACCAGGTTCCTGCGCGGCATCTCAGCAGTGTTCCCTATGATTCTCTTGAGTGGACTCAGCCCTCATGCACTAGGCTGACTGCATGCACCATTCTGTAAGATGAATCTTGACCCCCACGACACTGCTGAGAAGTTTGCTGAAAGCCTCTCCATGCATTCACCAACACAGGGGAGGGATCTGAGGTGATCCCTTAGGACCAACTCCTCCTTCCCTGCATGTGCAGCCATGTGTGTCTTCACAAACAGAAGCATCTCTCAAAGGGCAGGTGATTTCCTTATTCCTCTTTGCTTCCTCAGACATCTCCCATCAGGAGCTTCAGGGAAGCCACAACCTCTTTGTGCAGAAAGGAGCACTTTGCCCCTCAGGACGGTACTGAGGCTCTGCTGCTTCACCAGACCTCCTTGGAGCTGTACCTGCAGAGTGCCAGGATCACAGAGTGCCCTCAACACGTGTCCGTCCCCCCCCCCGGCCATGTGGGCACCCGCCTACGACTGACACCCGGGTGTCACCTGGTGGCAGGGTATATCTAGAGGAGACAGGATATCTTGAGACACTTTCTACACAGGCTGGAGGACTGGAGTTGAATGATTTGCAAGAGGAGCCCTTGGCACTGTAAGTGTGTTTCCCAGGAGCTCAAAGCAATAATGAGGGTGGCAGGGGGATGAAGGAGGAACTGACTGCGAAACCCAGGGGGGAGAAAAGTCCTGATAAAAAAAAAACATGGGGGAGAAATTTGGTTGTCTGTGCTTGGAGAGTGTGAACGGACCCAGTAGCTAAGAGAAGGAGATGTGGTTGTTGGGTGTTTGTTTTCTGTTTCCTCTAACATTAGGACAAGTGCTGCAGCAGTGGTTTGTCTCAAAGCTCCCTGGCTGTGCAAGCAGCCTCTGCCCTCCATGGGGCTGCTTGTTTTCTCATGCCAGGCATCCCTTAGTTGGGGCTCCCTGGCATCCCCTTGGCTTGTGCCCTTGGCTAGATGAGCCTGTGTGTGATCAGTGCTGGTGAGGCTCCTGAGGAGCAGTCAGGACAGACAGATGGCGTCTCCTGCCCCAGTGCCCAGCAGTATGTGCAGGGTACATTGGTGAGGAGTTTATACCGTGTGATGCTGTACTTCCAGAGTTACTGAATGTCTTCTTTAAACTGGCATAGTCTATCCAATGGTCTCCATCTGGGAAACAGTTGTGGGAATATAGTTCTACTTCAAATGGGTCTCTGCCTGCTAGAATGAAGGGCCTGAGATCCTGTGTAAAATACAAGAAGAGAGAAGGATGAACTGATGGACTTTTTGCATGGCTATGATTACCCCACTCAAGCAACTGAAACTGGAGTTGTGATACTCCTCACAGGCATCTTGCACCAGATACAATACTCCCTGGTGAAAGCCTGGCTGCAAGGGTGATGCTGGTGGCTCTCATGAAGTCAAGAGCTAAGAATGCAAGAACCCCATCAAAAGGGATGTGAAAACAAGGGTATTTCTTCCTGGTTGCTGTCTACTCCCAGTGTATCTCTGCATGGAGGGCCATGGGGGTTCTGTGTGGGACACCCCTAAGGCACCACAAAGACACATGGAGGAGTCTATATTTTTGAAGGTTTCAGACAGGGGAAGATGAGTTCCAACACTGAATCTGTCTGAAGAAGATCAAGTGAGGCATCTGCATTATCTGTCACAGAAATTTTCCACAGAGAATCAGAGACTAAGGAGAGGGCAGATTAAAGAGTCAGCATTTGCCAGTAAGTATTCAAGCCCCTTTGAGTTCAAAGAAAACTAAAAGAAGGATGATTAACCTGGCCAGCAACCCAGAGGTGGGATATCTGACGCAACTGAGATAAGCCTATTACAATGTATTAGGTATAATTAGCATTTGGACGCAAGCAAAGCTTATAACCACAGGATTAAACCCTGGAATGAGCAGAAATGCTGTCAGGGGAAATCTGGTAATACCTTGTCAGAGGAGGGGGCAGAGGAAGTGCGTGGAAGAACATCTTGTTCCTCAACAGCCTTTGATTTCACAGCCATCAGCTCTCACCCGGGAGCTACATCCCAGTGCCTGCAGCAACAGAAGGGCTCTGGCAGCCCAGGAAGCACTGGGAGAAGGCAGCATAGCACTTGCAGAGATCTAGAGAAAGAGGCTCAGTCTCGTCAGACCTTTGTCAAGCCATCTGCTTGGTGTGGTACCAAGGACTATCCAAATACCCAGGTATGGGGCGGTGAAACGCTGGTAAATTCCCCTGAGGAGCTGCTGTGGTGTTTCTTCCACATCCGTGATCTTGGGTGTCTGCCACCCCATGTCTGACTGTGTGCAGGGGCTACTAGTTCCTGAGTTGTGGGAACTGTGACAGGTCTTGTGCTGTGGGACAAGGCCCTCTCCAGCATGAATGGAGACACACTTGTGTGTGATGGCTTGTGTATGAATCAGACCAGATCAATGGTGGGAGGGCAGCTTGATTTCTGCCCTCTGACAGAGGCTGTTATGTGGCATTAAGGCTGCTTTCCGTCCTTTGCCATTTCTTTTGGTGATGTGTGGAGAGAATAGGTAGAGGGAGCTTGTTAAGGAAAAAGTTAGAATTGTCCCTTTTAGTTTCCTTGAGTGCTCTTTCTTGAATTCCTACAGGTGAGAGAGAAGGTGAAGTGTGATTTGGGCAGATTTTCCTACCAAATCCTACCTTTTCCTACAAAATCCTGGGTTATTGAGTAGCTGGTAGGTGGATACAGCTACCTCAGACTGGGGGAAAGGAAACTCCAACGACTGAGTCTTTTTGTTAGCTATTTCTCTATTAAATAAAGGCCAGAGACAAAGCATGGTCTCAAGGAACTAAGAGGAGCTGATTCTGAAAGACTTTTTGTGGTTAAGGTATCATGCTGGCAAACAGCAAGGGTTGGTGAAGCAGGGTGGGAACTCACGTGGAGATGGAACTCAGATGTATTTTACAAGTTTTGGATGCCAGACTAAAGCATTGGAAATCTGTTAGCTGGTTTGTTTCTTCTGTTGTACTTTTGCAAGTAGCCCTTGAGAGGGGTACCACGTATCTTGTAATGTCAGATGAGCATGGTGCTTAGAAATGGATGTGTGTCTCTCATAGTTCAGGAGGGGTGTCTAGCCCTGCAACAGACACCCCGTTGATGAGAACTGCACCTGAGGCAGAAGCATAATGTTATACTTTGGGGCATTAGCAGACACATCATGGAGCAGCATTTTGTTGTAGAGCAGTAACATCTGAATCCCTCACTGGTCCTGAATAAAAGTGAACATCAAATTCTCTCTTCATTTTGGAGCCAAACTGCCTTCACCTCTCAGTATGGTCCTAAATCTGTGAGTCAAAAGATTATGTCACTCCTTCCAGCAGTGCAGTCCAGGTCATGCCAATGACTGCGCCTCATTTCTGTTTTGTAAAAGATGAAGGTAACAGTGTTTGCCTGTCCTGCCAGTGTTGTGAGGATAAAGCTGTAAATACAGGGCTGCAGAGATGGCAGCTAAATAAGTAACTTCTACAATCTGAGTTGATCTGTGTTTGTGGGCACAGTATGTGCTTAGGAAGTGCTGTGTTACAGGCGGGGGAATAGCATCTGTGCGTACTTCAGCTGCAGACACAACCATCTGCTGCTCCATTTGGGGCTGCTGGAACCCATCCAGTTTCCTGCTAAGGGGTATTACAGCTGAGAAAGGAGCCTGACCGCAAGTGACAGGAGAACTAAAATGCCTTTAGGTGCTCTCATTAGGATCCATGCCACTGTCAGCACAGATGGAAAGATGTCAGGGGTGAAGTATTCCCAGACTGCCACAGACACAGAAACAATTCTTTGTCTTGCACTGATGTGGAAGTGACGCAGGATTGATTGGATGTCTTTCTCCTCTCATCTCAGGCTTTGCTTTTGGGCACTTTGGATATTTCAGGGCAGTCAAAGACACAAACTGTCTTCAGACTAAGGAAAGAAGAAAACCAGAATTACCCACAAACCAAAACATCTTTGATGGCATTTATAGTTCTGAGTTTAAAAGTCTGGAGTGTCACTGCATGTGATGTTGGGGATTAGGCCAGAGCACTATGGTGACATAATATGATTAGCCCTTAGTACCAAATCCTGAAGTTAATTCCATCGGTGATTCCCTCAGCCTGGCTGCACAGGGACAAACACCTGGAGATAGGAGTTAAGTAATGGTCATGGGGAAGAAGAATGTGACTTCAAGGAGAGGAGAAAAAAAAAAGGCATTTATTTTTGTCCATAAATGCACTTGCTCAGACCATTCTAGCATACTAATAAGCATAAAATCTGACGAAGGGCTGGTGAGAGTTATTGCTGTGCAATCTGGGAAGGAAGCAAAGGGCTCTGAGTGCAGCAGTTCTGCTCTCTGAGGCCAGAGAGATGTCTCCTGCACAAGAATTGCTCCCTGATAACTACTTAGCCCTTGTGAAGTGGAGCTTGGCTCATGTGCAGTGTGGTGCAGAAGAGGTCAACACATGTAATGTAATGCTCAAAAATACCAAAATGAACATACCCTGGGGAAGGTTGCAGGCTTTACTCTCCTAAATCCTGAGAAATTACATTCTGTCTAAAAGACAATCTCCAACACTTTGCCTTAACCTTCTTTACCATCTTTCAAAGATCCTGTGCTATTTCCCATAAGTTTGGTATTGACAAATATGAGACCTTAATTGAAGTTCCACCCAGACTAAGGGCCCATCTAACTTAGCATTCAGTGTGTAAAAGGTACTTGTGCTTAGGCACAAGTGAAGTATATCATGATGATTCCTAAGTATAGGATATTTCTCTAAGACATAAGTGTGTCTTTGTAGCTCCTAGTAGTCACGTCCTTAACCAATAAGTAAAAACATCAGCACTGCTGTTTCAAAACTTATTAGAAAACAATCTACATTGTCATTAACCTTCCTATTTCACCCAAACTGTGGGGAAAGCTACTGCAGCAACCTGTCTCCAAAAGTCCAGCTATGTCTGAGACAAAAGAAGGCGTGACTCTCCATGACTCTGCAAGTCATTGCACTATGGGTCAAAGTGTCTTTTTGTCCTTAGCTCAAGGGTCTTTTGTTTGGCATATTAATTCTAGTATGCCAAATGAAAGGCAGTGCTATCCTACTTACTTTGAATGCATTACTATATTTCTTTATGTTTAACATCTTTATCTTTAATCCTGTCACAATTATATTTTTCATAAGTCTGTGACCTGACTACTGATACATAGAAATGCTAAGCAAAATGTTGCATCAGTCCTTGCTGTTATCTTGCAGCCAGAGGCATCTGAGAGAGGCACGTGCCTGGCACACACAGCATCCCAGAAATGAGTGAGAACCCAACCACCAACCTCAACACTGGAGATGCTCCAACTGGTCCCACCACACCACGCAAGGGGCCTCCCAAGTTCAAGCAGAGGCAGACAAGGCAATTCAAGAGTAAGCCGCCTAAAAAAGGAGTAAAAGGGTAAGAGCATTTTCAAAAGAAAAGAAGCCATGCTAGTAGGTGGCTCCTCATTGCTAAGGTTTCTGTGGTAGCATCTTCCCTTGGGCAAGGAGCCAGGAGGCTTCCTCCTGCCCCTGGTGCCATCAGCTCTCCTGCCTGAAGCTGCTTCTCTTCATCTGCTGCCCACCCACAGTCCTCCTTCCCTGGCTGCATGTGCAGGGCTGCTCTCCTTTCCTGGGTGCTGTTGGCCCAAACTCAACTCTTCACCCTCTCTTTTCTCCCCTAGGTTTGGAGATGACATCCCAGGCATGGAGGGACTTGGCACAGGTAAGCCCCGTGGTATGTTGTTGTCATGCCTTGCTTGAAGGCCTGTGCAGTCATGCTTCAACATGGGAGAGGACTCTCTGGGATGGCCTCTCTGTCTCCCTGGCCTCTGCAGTTCTCAGGATCAGGAGAGAAGGCTGGTACTTCCACCACAAGCTGCCACAGTCATGTTTAGATACACTCCAAGACAGAAAGGCTATTTAGGCATGCTTCCATTTCTGAATACTTTCATTTGGCTGCAAATGTGCTTGTTTGTTTTCTGCTAATACTCTGGCTCAGAATTGCAGCAGAATGAGGTTCTCAAAGAAATGACAAATGCTAAGCTATTAATACCAAAAATCACAGGAACTAAATTCCAGCTGGTTAAGTGTTTGTGTTATCACCAGAATTCTAATTTTAAGAATTTTATGCACCTGTATGGGATTGAGAAACATGCACAGGATGGGATGTATCCAGTCAGAACTTCTTAGGTATCAATAACAACTGCAACTATCAAAGAGCTGCAGATCCTGAATGTTGTAGACCAAATTATTCAGCATCTGATTTAAGATTGCATATGTCTTCAAGGAGATCAGAGTTTTGCTACAGTTAGTCTGTAAGAACAGTTGAAACCACATAACCAGAATGAATTTCTATACCAGTCTACACAGTCACTAAAGAGACTATAGGAAATGCTGGTTTGATTTTGCTCACAGAGAAAACTTACGCAGGAGAAGATACAGTTGTTCTGTATCCTGTATGTAGATAGTCTAGTAGGTAGTACAAAACTTGGAGAGCTCATCTGCTCATTTAAGCTTCAAATGGAGTTGTCTTCTTCTTAATGTTTCCCAAGTAAGTCAGCCTTCCCTTAATGAGAAAAAAATCCAAGAAATGCAGTGACCAGAACCCATTTCTCATTCTCTCTCTTTTGCAGATATCACAGTGATTTGCCCATGGGAAGCTTTCAGCCATCTGGAACTGCATGAGCTGGCCCAGTTTGGGATCATCTAAGGTGCCAGCATCTCTAATGGTGTCACCTGGTGACCCCACCAATCCCAGCATGGTCTTCATCACCTTTGACACTTATTTTTGGCCCTTACATTCACTTACTCACGGGCAGAGGGATTTTGTAAGAGCTAGTTATGAGAAAGTCCTTTGCAGATTAATTTGGCAGAGAAGTTATTCGGGTCCCTGAACAGACCTCATGCTCCATGTGATGAAACTACTGAAAAATGTCTTAATGCCTCCCTGTACCATAATCTGTCTTCTCCCACTGTTGTAGCTCTTTATGTTTATGGAGATACAGGGAGGCTGTATTTGAACTTTTCCCCTATCAGCTGAGATACTGTGTACATGGGTGTGCATGTATATCCAGACCTAATTATATCAAGCCTGTTCTGTTTGTTTCCTTCCCTCCCTGAGAGTTTTATATATAGAATTTACCTGGCTATATCCCCATGTTATCTGGGCCACCAATTATTTGCTGAGAGTATACTTGTAGAGAACAGAAGTTGAGTCACCAGTCCAATCATTAGGCTATTTTTCCATAGGAAAACCTTCCTCAGGGGTTCATTATAAGGAATTGGCTGCTAAGATTTACCACATGAGCAAAGGGAAATGTAGATGTCTCTGCTGTACTGCCTGCAGTTATGAGCCATTCTGTCCTAATAATGTTAAATGAAAATGTGTGTGTCTGAGATCAATAGCTAAATGAATTAATCCTATTCCTCATTCCTTTGTAGTCACAACTCCAGAGAAGCAGTGCTCCAAATGACACTGTGTTTCCTGTCCTTCGATGGGACACCCATGTGTGACACTTGCAGTGGCCTGATGCCCATACATACTTTGATGAGTCACTTTTCAGCCCTTGGCAACTTTAAGCTCTGGAACTTGTCTGGACAAGCTGGCAAATAGTAGTTCCCTTGAGAGAGATAACAGCAGAGCAGGTGGGGAGGCAGGGGGAAATTAGGATGTGTATATGCAGGCAAGCACAGAGCGAATCCACTTAACCCTATCGATTTGTGTCTCCTGGTCTCCAACAGCCTGAGTGCTGGTGAGTGGTGAGGCACTCATAAGCACTTAAACGCTCAGTGAAGGCACTGAGATTTCCTGCTGCCCTGGCATTAAGGAAGGGCTTTTGTTTTGTTTGAAGGCAAGGAGCGAGCTTTGTTGCAGCTACATAATATTTAGAAGAGGAGGTGGCATTTTTTATCATTGCTTTGAACTTGATGATCTTCATTGCATAAGAAATGCCTCCCCCCAGCTTATCTTTCCTATGCCAAAGATGTTTATGGGAGCAAGGAGTGGCTGCAAACAGGAGAGCAAAGCCTACCTAAAAGATAGATCCCTATGCATAAAGCATTGCTATAAACCCATGGTTGTGCTATAGTTATCTATTAGTGTTATTCCAGAAATAAAAGCTAATGTTTTCTGTTTAAAGTATAGCTTCAGCACCAAAAGCTAAAGGAAATACCTGTTGGCAGTCCAGAGTACAGTTTTTATTATTCAGCACTCCTGCCATTAGAAACAGGAGTAAACCAATGAGTGGTTCAGAACCGCAACATAATCACAGAGCAGGAGTCATGTACCATTTAGCTAATTGCAGCCCACAGCTACTTCTTTGGGCAAAGGCAGTGTCTCCTCCCCACTTACTCCTAATTTCTCCCACCTTTCGCACCTTTTAAGGCTTTTCTTCTTTCCCTAAGTGTTCTTTATGTAAATGACAGTTTATTTAGCTTTTACTGCAGAGGACTAATTTCATCTTTTTTTTACAAGTTCCTGTGCTAGCCTTCTGCTTCTGTGCTTAAATGTGAATGTTCCTATGTCAATGTTTGTATGCTTTCCCTCACATTACATCATCCTGTAGCATGTGATCCTTATTCCACCTTTCAGTCTGTCCTCTTTTATCTGCGGAAAGACACAACTGGATCCAGTTTTGGATCCTGTAAGCTGGCTGCCTCTATTATCATTGAGTTTCCTCTTTTTTAAGCTTTTTAAAGCAAGAGATCAAGAAGACAAACTTGGAATTAGTCCTTTTGCTTCCATTTCATCCCATGCCTTGGGAAAGCATTTCAAAGGTGGTGAGATCCTCTGTCAGAAAACACTGGGATAAAAGCAAAGTTCTCCTTAGTCCAGGGACTGAAACATTTCAGCAAATGTGAGGGTACTGATGAAATTCCACATCTGATTGTCATAACCCCAGCTCCCATCAGAGAACTACTCCATTCTCCTTCCTAGAGGAGTATAATAAGAATATACACATACCCCAGGTCTCATGACTGCCTGATGACTTGTATTAGAAGATGTTTTGAGTCAACACAGCTTGTTAGTTATTTTAAAACTGATTTCTATACATTAATAGGGATTACAGTCCTTCCTTTACTTGTAAGGTGTTTCAAGGCTTGGAAGAAGAGTCTTAATACATCCTCATACTTGTTTTGTTTGAGGTTCTGATTTTTTTTCTAATTAGCTATAACCCCTGAAACTTCCATTCTCAAACATTGTGAGATGGTTATGATGCAAGAAAGTAAATGTGTTAAACTAGCTTGTTGAAGGACTTCAGTCTATATACATTGTAATATGTTATTCTTTATTCTTTTACTATAAAAATAAGTCAAAAGTCATAAAAATGAATAAAAATATTTTTAAAATCATAAGAATGTAGTTTGACTTGCCTACAAAATATATCCAGAGAAAGGCAGATGACTTAGCTTTTCATTCTAAAATCTTTTCCTGAGGAAAGCTTGGAAAGCCACTCACCACTCACTCCTCGTGAAAGAAAATCAGCTAGCTATCTGCAAACAATGGGCAATAAAGACTGACTGTGATATCACCTGAGAAGCAGTTTTTTCCTGAGTAATGACTGGGGTTTTCTCCCAGGCATGGTGCACATGATTTCCTTAGGGCTGAAAACTTTTGGTCAGTTATCTTCTGGGACTCTTTAGATAATTGAGTGCTGGCATTTTTCTACCCTATAGCAAAGAATGACTGAGATGTGAATACCACTTAGAGCTGCTAAGACTCATCCCCTTTTGTTTCTTTATAAATGTACATAGGAGTTTCAATTTGGTCAGGTTTAACTGCCTTCTGATACGAGATACAAATATGAGTTAGGCAAGTGTCTTTCTGGGCCCTTTTTATAAATCCCTTCCAAACAGCACTTTGAAAACCTGAGAAACTTCTTTTCACATGGTTACTGCCACCTAATAGCACCAACCTTAAGGAAGGGTTTAGCTGATCCCTGTAAAATTCTGTATCACAGCAAGAGTGACCTCAGAGATGAGTCCCATTCTCACCAACCTCTGTTTCTGGATCTACTGAAAAAGTTAAATAAACCTAAATCTCGGCAAGAAAAGAAGAATGGACCTTGGGAAAAGTGAGGAGCACTTGTCTTGCTTTTCCTCCCTTAGTATATCTAAATCACTTCAGAAAACTCAATTAAGATAAAAAAAAATCTTCAGTGCAAGATGGATTCGTCAGGAGATCTGAAGATGCTCAGTGCAAGATTCCCATCCTCCAGCAGTTTTCAAATCAACACATCACTCAGTACCACGCCACTACCGTATTTTCCAGTCTGATATGGTATCGGCTACCAAAAGTACTCTGACAATACCACTGTGTTTTGTGGAACATTTTTCTATTTTATAAATGATATTTTGAGAGTTAGAAAACTTAATGTCTAGAGTATCCATCACCTTTAAGTCTCCAGTGCCTGATTTTTCAAAGCGCATAACATTATGTCTTGGTGTTTAAAATACAGCTGTTGTTGGTTGTGGTTGCAGTTATGAGCACTTATTAGTGAGTCTCACTCTCTCTGAGTCTGATCTCAGACAGTAAGATCCAAGACCTCCGCTTGGAGATCTGAGGAACAATGAGTATGTATTTTGAGAGTATTTACGCAATGCCTCATAGGAACGATATGTTGAGCATCACTCAGGGTGAACAGGTTATTCCATCCAGCAGTCTGTTTCAGCATCACCACAGCACCCTGTGGTGTAAATCTAGACAGATTGGGAAAAATAAAGAACAGAAGATTATGCAATTAAAATTAAAAATAGTATCACACGCTTATAAATGTGATCAGTTCTGAAATTTCCTCATATTGGACTGCTTAACTTTGAAATCTTATTCCCAGTCCCCATAGTTCTGCCAGGGTTGTTAAAGCTGGGCTCAGCCTGATGTCAGGCTCCTGCACCTCCAGAGGTTGTCCTGACTGTCCAAGGCAGTGAGCACTTAATGGCTCCCAGGCTTCCCCACACTGACTGCAATCCACCTGTAGGGAGTGGGAAGGATGAAGCCTTTGTGCTGGGAGCACATAATGATTTAACTGAGTCAGTTGCAACTTCTAGCTTCAAGTGCTCTCATTTTCTACATGGTTCCCCTTTTTGAAGTTTAGCATCACTGTGGTGAAATTTTTGGCCCTTTCTGTTCCTGGTGGGTAAAACAGGCACTTTCAGTATGAAGGCTTATTGTCTTCAGGCATTTTCAAACACTTTCTCAACTCTGGCATCTTTCTAAGGGCCTCTCACATTCCTGAGGCTATAAATGAAGTCGCTGAGAATACTGAACACCAGCACATACATAACATACACCAGGCTGTCCCAGTGTCTGGGCAGACCATAGATAGGACACAAACAGATGAACTACATCATTACCTTGTGAAGAGTATGTCTTTGGTCAGGGAGGCACAGGCAGTGAAGAAAGTTTTTGGTACCCTGAGAGCTTGGTCAAGACAGTGGTGAGAACAGAAAAAGTGCATAGGAAGGAAAGATTCCTTCAGGAGCATGGAGAGCAGCAATGTGACAAAGCCCCTGCTCTGTGAGCTGACTGCCAGAGCTCACCTGCTTTGTCTCACAAGCTAACCAGATATTAAGTCAGCTCAAACCTGTACACAGGACAGCCACCTTAACATCCAGGCAGCTGCTGGCATGGGCATAGTAAGCTTGCATCTGTCTACATCAGGGAAGCTAGCTGCAGGTCTGAAAGTAAAGGAAGAAAAATAACAGCAGGGAACAAGAAGTAGTGTTAGGTCTGGCTTCAGCAACTGCAGTGCTAACAGAAACTCTTACTGGATCAAGGTCTTTCCATACTAGGCACTTTTTAAGTACATCACTGGGAGCTAATGAATTATAATAATCCCTATCTCCAAGCCAGTTTGTTACTCCAGCCTGTGGATTCTAAACTTTACTGACAAGCAGGGAACAGCAGAGATGCAGCAGAGTCTTGAAAATGTCAGTACATGGCCAGGTCACATATAGACAGTTGGGATGAGGAAAACACAGATGGAGGCATCAGGAAACAGTCCTTTCAAATACAAATGAAGCTGAGAGGAGAGCTGGTAAGCACCACCAAGAACAAGGGGAAAGCAAGTGGGCAATAAAATTGGGATGAAATATGGTCAGCAAATGAAGCACTAAGACTAAAGCTGTGTATACAAAAATAGTACCATGTTGTGGTTTAAGCCCAACTGTAAATCAGAACCAAGCAGTCTCTCTCTCACTCTCCCCCTTCCCCCTCCCCCTTGGCTCCTGGAGGGATGGGGAGGAGAATCGAAAGACTGTAACTCCCATGGGTTGAGGTAAGAACAGTCCAGTAACTAAGGTATAACACAAATCACTGCTGCTACCACCAATAATAATAATGATAAGGGAAATAACAAGGGAAGAGAATACAACCACTCACCACCAGCTGACTGATACTCCGCCTGACCTGAGCAGTGATTTCCCCCTTCCGGGTAACTGCCCCCAGTTCATATAGTGGGCATGATGTGCTGTGGTATGGAATACCTCTTTGGTTAGTTTGGGTCATGTGTCCTGTCTCTGCTTCCTCCCGGCTTCCCCTTCTCCCAAAGTCC